TGCTATCTTTTTTCTATTTTTGCTAGTGGTGTCACTACTTAAAATGGCCTTCAATTGTGGGTTTGAAGCACTTTTTAATGTTCCTAAGCACAAGAAGGCTGTGACATCGCTTATGGAAAAAACAGGTATATATTATATAAGCTTTATTCAGGCATGAGTTAATAGTGCTGTTGGCTATGAGTTCAATGTTAATCAACCAGCAACAAATATTAAATAAGGCCTTTTTGAATGAACACACATAAAACAAGGTCATGTATTGATTAGCTGTGCAAAAATGGGAGAAAAAAGAAAGAAAATGCTGTGAGCAAAGGCTCTTGGGAACGTAGTGCTGCATTTCCCCCAGGAATAATTTCTTAGTATTTGCTAATTCAGTGTTCACAGTGATGCTTAAGGACATAACTTATGTGAAGGAGAACCAGCTGTATTCTGAGAGTGGAACAGGGTAACAAATTAGATACAGAGTCAGAAAGCTTGGATTTCAATTCTAGGTCTACAACTGACCCCCACCTCATGTGGTCTCAACTTATCTATAAAATGGGAATGATAATAGTATTTGTTGTGGGGCCATGAAGTTTTAATAAATTAAAAAGATCACAAGTACACTTTTAGAAAGTAATTATTTCTTATAAAAATGCCAACAAGTGTAAGGACCTGAGTTCAAACTCTGATGCCTAAATGAATGAATGAATGAATGAATAAAAATGCCACTAGTACTCTTCAATAAAAACTGGATTTCCGCACGCAAAGAATGAAATTAGACCTGTAACTTAAAGAATACATAAAAATCAACTAAAAATGCATAAAAGACCTAAAAATAAGATCAGAAACTACAAATCTATAACACAAAAGAGAAATGCTTCTGGATCCTGATCTTGGCAGTGACCTAAATAACCAAGACCAGAAATGGGGAAGGAGGTTTAGGCTCAGTGGTGGCACCACAAGGATCTGAGTTCAATCCCCCCAGTACAAAAAAAAAAAAACCAAAAAAACCAAAAAGACCAAAAACCAAAAACAAAAAAAAAAAAAACCAAAAAAACCAAAAAGACCAAAAACCAAAAACAAAAAAAAAAAAAACCAAAAAAACCAAAAAGACCAAAAACCAAAAACAAAAAAAAAAAAAACCAAAAAAACCAAAAAGACCAAAAACCAAAAACAAAAAAAAAAAAAACCAAAAAAACCAAAAAGACCAAAAACCAAAAACAAAAAAACAAAAAACCCAGAAATGATAAAGTCAATAGAAAACATATGGTAAAGGCTCCTAGGCACTGGCAGTTATTTTTTGGATATCATACCAAAAAGCTCAAGCCATAAAAGCAAAAATAAATAGATGAAACAATGTTAAACTAAAGAGCTTCTGCACAGCAAAGAAAATAACCAACAGAATGAAACAGCAGCCAACAGATTAGGAAAAAATATTTTGCAAATCATATATCTGATAAAGGGTTAGTATTTAAAATCTATAAAGAACTCATACATCTCAATAGTAGAAAACCAATTCCAAAAATTGGCAAACGACCCAATACTTTTCTCCAAAGACATAAAAATGGCTAAAGGTAGATAAAAAAATGCCTGATGTCAATCATTTAGGGCAATGAAAATTAAAACTAAATGCATCATCTCACACACTTAGAATGACTATTATTGTGAGGTGAAAGTTAATAAATGTCCTTGAGGGTATAGAGAAAAGGAATTCTTGTCCCCTCTGGTGGGAATGTAGATTGCTGCAGTCATCTTGGAAAAATATGGAGGTTTCTAAAGAAAGTAAATACAAGCCAGGGATGGTGGTGTACGCCTGCAATCCCAGCACTCGAGGAAGCAGACCCAGGAGGATCCCAAGTTTGAGCTCAGCCTGAGTAACCTGGTAAGACACTGTCTCAAATAAAAAATAAAAATGGGCTGGGGATGTAACTCAATGCAAAGGCCCCAGTTTCAAACCCTAGTACTGGCAGGGGTGAGAGAATATTAAATACAGACCTACCATATGACTAAGTGATTCCCCTCCTGGATATACATCCAAAGGAAACAAAATTATCACCTTATAAAAATATCTGCAGGCTGTGGATTTAGCTCAGTGGTTCTGCCACATGTCGAGCAAGCCCAAGGGCCTGAGTTCGATCCCAGGCACCCCTCCAAAAAAATCTGCACTTCTATGTTGAGTGCAGGATTATTCACAGAAGCCAAGACATAGCAATAATACAAGTTTCCATGGATGGACAAATGGGTGAAGATACTGTGGTACCTATACAGAATAGGGTATTGTTCGGCTGTAAAAAAAGAACAAGATCTTGCAATCTGTCTCAACATGGATGAGCCTGGAGGACATTATGCTAAATGAGATAAGTCACACAGAAAGAAAAATATTGTGTGATCACAGATATGGAATAAAAAAAAATCAAGTGCACAAAAATAAAGAATAAAGTAGTTATTGGGGAGCTGGCAAAAGGAAAATAGTGAAAAACAGGTCAAATGTTCCAAAGAAATAGATACATAGGATGAACAAGTCTAGAAAGCTAATGTAAAATAGAAGGACTTCATGTAGTAGGATTATCCTATATTTTGGATTCAGGCTAAATTAGTAGATTTTCGCTGTCGCTGCCACAAAAAAACAGAAGTGGTAAGTACAAAGTGACGGGTGTCAGTTTTTATATAGTAATCTTAGTAATATTTTTATTATTTATATGTCTCATAACACCTTTTTTTGGTACTGGGGATCAAACTCATGTCTTTGCCCTTGTGTGGCAGGTGCAATGCTGTGCAGCTAAATCCCTAGCCTTGTTAAATACTTTAAATATATACAATGAAATTTATTTTTAAAACCTCACCAAATTTATCTTCCCTACATTTGGCATTTAACAAATTTCAAGGTATTTTAATTATCACATTTTAGGATTCTAAGACTTAAATTTTATTTTAGAATCTATGGACCTTGTGTTCAAAGGCAATTATAATTACGCAGTTACAATTTATAGTGCTTCTTCCTTAGTGAAACTGAAAAGATTGATGTATCTCACATTCAATGGTGTCCTAAATTATATGGCATTTTATACCCCCTCCTGAGTGCACTCTTAATTTAACAGTAACTATAAACTATTTAAATAAATATGACTACTCCAACTTGACATTCTCCACTGGGAAGTTCCACCTACCATTTTCTAATAAATACTTAGCACTTCATATTCCTGATCCAGATCTTTTTGTGGTTTTCCTTTAGTCTACTTTATTTTCAAAAAATTTAACTTTTTAAAAGACTTTCTAATTTCCAGTGTGATGGTCTAATATGAAAAAAGTGCCATTTCTTTGGCACTGCAGCTGGGGTGATCTCCAGAACACTATTTTCTCCCCAGTGTAAAAGGAGGAGTGGGAATAAGACACAAAGATACCCCTTTGAGTTAGTGATACTTCACAGGGATATGAAAGCTATAAAATCCCACTGTGCTATCTGTAATCTATCTCTCTGACTTGGAGGAAATAAGCAGTGTTCTGGTTTCATTACATGCTTTCAGGTTCTAGCTGGAGTATTTCTGGCAGTTAGCACCAGCCTGGCTGGGGAAACACCATGTACCTGTACCTGCAGAGCTCAAATACAAAAAGAATGGATTTACTATGCCTCTTGATTCTCACCCCCAAATCTACTACCTTAATTAATTCCCAAACATTCTGAACCAAGTCTTGGCTCTGTTAGGGTAATTCTTTTCAATGAAAGCGTGAAATAAGATTAATTTCTAACTTGGCAATTCTTTTTTATATGTCCCCTACTCCTTACCTCTCTCCCTTCCAACTTGGCAATTTTTCACACTTGTTTGTTTCTGCCTCTCATGTGTCACAATAAACAACTAGGAATTTTCTTCAGCATTTCTGTATTTCTAGATCAGCTAGCAGGTTGAGAGGTACAAAGATACTGAATTAAGCGAACAACAGAATTTCTATTTATATGTATGCATCCAGCCTTAAGTTATATATAGCTTATTAACATATTAATATAGCAGTTCATAACCATTAAATGTGTAGACAAATAAGTACATGTTCCAAAAAAAAATTTTTTTTTTTTTTGGATCTAGGAATCAAACTCAGGACCTTGAGTTTGCAAGGTAGGCATGGTGCCACTAAGCTAAACGTCCGGCTCCCCCATTTCCCCCAAAACTTCCTATACACAAAATGCATGATTCAAGAAATTCAAAGATACTGTACTACTAATGACATTAATGTCTTTTCTAAGGCCCTGACACACAAGAATGAATTTAAAGATAAAAGTGAAATCGAAACTTTTTTTTCCCAAAGAGTAAAAAAACAATTTAGCAATCCCGAGAAGGTCTTGGCATAAAGACAACTCTACTACTCTGGAAATCTAGTCTTTAAGAAGCAGGCATTGTTTCAGGTTTAGCCAGGGGTACAAATAGTCTCGGGTTAGCCTAATTACTGGTTTACCTTTGATCTACTAGTTTAACCTTTCTTATTAACTTTAAGAGGGAGTTTGCATGCCTAAAACAGACTGTCTACTGAAACTTAACAAGAAAGGAGAGAGAAATTAATGGAACAGAAGAGACCATCTTATTTGTTTAGTACTACTTAAGACCTATCTTTGAAAAAAGTGGTCTAATTTTAATTTCTATCAATGAAAGTCTTTAAAAATGTAAAAGCCATTTTAAGGGCCACTTTAAGAATACAACTCAGGCTCACAGCACTTGATTCATTTCAATGTCAAGGCACCACATCTAAGAATCACTTTACTACCAATAGAGACCTCTTTTCATGAAAATTATGATCTTGCCTATATTCAAGAACACTGTAGCTGAAAGAGAGACAAGACAGGATAGTTGCTATCCTGAAACCTGTTTGGCGAATGGCAGGCTAAGGACCCCTTGCGCATGCCTATTAGTCTAACTTTTCTACATCACTGGACAATAAACAAACAAACGAATTTACACACACTCATTCATCTTTGAGACAATTGAAAGTAATGAGTTGTACTTGTCCGTCAGGCAAGTAGTATGATAGCATACCTGGAATACTCTCTAATTTCCTTCTGAGCTCTTCATTTTCTTGTTGCAGTGAAATAACCTCCTGTTCCAACTCCTGGCATCGAGGACAGTAGCCTTCCTCTTCCTCCTCCTCTTCCTCCTCTGGCAGTGTAGAAGAAGATGGGTGGCCATGGGATTCAGATGTTGCTGGGGAGGTCCAGCCACCTAGTGTGTGCACAGGGGAGGTTGAGAGAGGATCCACATCGGCCAGGTGGCTATACTCACTGACCGACGAGGTGTTTGGAGTTGGAAAGCTCCCCGAGAGCAGATAATTTTGCAAAGAGTCAGTGAAAACTCTCAAAAAGGCAGAAGTTTGTTGTTTCCTTTGCATATAGTGCATCTCTATGTCTACATTGTCTGAGGTCTGACTGTGGGTCCCTTTCCCAATGTGACACTGTTCCTGTCTTTCATTGTAACTACAGCCTTCCTGCTTTACGCAAGAAAGCATAGACTGAGAATGATTGGAGTCCAGAAGTTTTCCTCCACAATTTAAGAGACTAAGTACTCGACTGCACTGCTGGGCAAAGGCATCCAAGATCATACGACTCTCTGAAATGCAAGAAGAAACATCAGTTACTAACAGCCAAAGGCAAAGAATAAGCAAGGTCTACAATTTACAGCTTAATATTCAAACATGTTAAAAATATGTATTTCTACTGTCAAAAATCAAAATGACATGGTGAATCCACTATTAAGAGCCAAACAGCCTCCTGTTGTCCTGCCTGAGGAATCGCCCCAGCCCTTCAGTGTAACACACAGCTGGACTGTAACTGTGTGAACACTACATAGTTTTCTTTTTCTGTAGCATTAACTGGTCTGCACAGGAAAAGCTCACACCTTTGGCTTCGTTAATATCCATACTCTAATCCAGCCACTGCTGACTCAATGCCTCATTGATACGAGTGCTTAAAGCAATCATTACTTCTATTTCTGGAGTGCCCTCATGCCCTTGCTATTAATCAGTTGATACAATCCCTGCCGAGAATACGTAGCTCCCAGATGCAAACTGGAGAAAAAAGATAACTCTTTTTGAAGAGTGCACTAGAAAACTAAGATAAAACAAAGGGTGAGTCCATAGCAAAGGATGAACAAAACAAAACTGTATGCGTCATCCAATATCTGCTGTGTTCACTATTCTTTCTTTTAATTTACCTACTAATTTAGATTTCTTGTCAAATGCAATGTTTGGGCTGACCTAGATCAGGAACTCTTGTAAATCAGTCAGTCTCTTTTTAGAGTCACTTCCATGAGATTGTCCAATCTCCTAAAATGGCACAAGGTGAGTGCCAGGTAGCTCACATATATGAATTCAAAAGCATATTAACTATCATGCAGTGAAAAGCAAAAAGCAAACAGAAACCAATCAACTCACTGCAAAAGCAAACAAAGGGGAAAAACTCCCAAACTGTGAAAATGTTATTTAAAGTTAAAGTCTAAGATTCTTGAAAACTCACCCTAAATGTAAATGTTACGAGGCAGTTTCTCTTCTTTCCTGCTACCTCCTAGAATGAGCTATTACAAATACAGGGCTTACTTACCCAGTCATGAGGATGCCCTTATTTCCTCTTCCCCTTACCCAGAATAATGGCAACAAGTAAAATACTGGACATTTTAGATGCCAATAACTTTTGTTTATAATTTAAGTGCAACTAATTACAGTACTCTCTTGAAAGTGTTGATTAACTGCTTCCCCTCCCCCGGGGTGGGGGTGGGGCTTTTAAAACAAAGATTGGAGATGCTTGAGGGCTTCTATGGGACAATGAACCAGAACACTTGTAATAAAAAACCCTCTCTAGAAAATCCAGGCCATCTAACTAATGAAATCGCACTTTAAGAACTCCACACAGCTTGGTATGGTGGTGCATAAGAAACTAAGGCAATATCTTAAGCATAGCCTGAACAACATAGTGAGACCACGACTCAAATTTTTAAAAATTTTGAATCCACAGTACCAAAATATGGGGGTGTGTGTGTGCTCTATTTCCATGCAGTATTCAATGCTCCACTGTTTTATTTTCTGCATATTCTTTCATGAAGTAAGTAAGGTATTAATTGAGGAGAGAGAGGTCCAAATGCCCTGTTCCAACTATTTAATAAAAATATACAGTATAGGGAAAGTATAGCACAGTGTCTGGCACACAGGACATGTCCCTCCCTTGGCCCTTTACTTTCAGCCAAACTTCTCCCCTTGGCGAGGTACCCAAGATCTAAGAATTCCTTACACTGCTTCCAGGGCCTATGCTGGCCTCTTCTTTGAGCTATCTACACTAAAACAGATCATGGTGCCAGAGCTTGAAGTGTGGCCTAGGGCACCCACATGTGTGTATATTAGATGGCTCAATGGAAATGGAAAAAGAAGGGCACAAATTACTTAAAAAATTCAAAGTCAAACTTGGTTATTATGAAGGTGTATATTCACCCAAAACAGATGAATACAACATACCTTCACTCACCAGCTTGCTAATGCTTTTGAATTATTTAGTCCCACCAACATTTGAGTGCCATTTCTTTACAATGACTTAAATCAAATAAAAAAGTAAAAAGCTGAACTACACAAGTGGGTAGGTTTAAGATATTGCACTCTCATTTTTTTTACTTTCTGATCTTTATCCTTTTATTAGTAAAATCAAAGGATGATATTGATTGGAAGTGCTAATTCTGGCACAATAGCAGTTTTCATTCATTTTAATCCTATAATCCCATTCCAGACCTAAAGTTGTATTTGCTGTTTGCATTTTAATCAGCATAGACCCAGATGATTTATAGCCCATATACCTTTAACATACCTTTAACCTTGATGAAAGGGACAAATATGCAAGGAAAGGCTAAAATAGGACTGCCTAGAAGGAGCTGCTTGAATATATTTGTTCAATGTCCTACAAAATACTCAGTAGTTTTAATCATATTGATGAATCACATTGAAGCATAGATTTTAAGGGGAAAAAAATCTGACTTAAGGACAAGCGTGATTTGTTTTCTTAATTGAAGGATAAACTCAACATGCTGAGAAAAAAATCATTGTGTAATATAGTATATTATGAAGATAATCTATTAAAGTGCACTCAGAATATCAGAAGACAGTTACAATCATAAAATTGTTCTTGCCTGCAGTGTTTAAAATGCTTCATTCTGAATGAATTTGTTCTCAAAATTGATAAATACAAAACTAACAACTGTAAATCCTTACAGTTGAATTTCTCAATACTCTGAAATATCTGAATAGTATTTTGTATTTTAACATTGATACATGAAGAAGTAAAGAAAAGAATATTACTATTACAATTGATAAGGAAAACAGCAACTCTTTCTACTTAATTGCATAGGTACTAATCCATGATTCTTAACTAAGCAAAATGTGAACATCTTGATTCTTCCTAACTTTTTTTTCTAGTCATAGAATGCTCCACACTTACATGATGGCACCAAAGTACAAAGTGAACCACTTACAAAAGGGGTTTTAAAACTGTCCACTTTATTTCTAACTCTCCTAAAACTAAATACTATAAAATGTTAAGAAATCACAAAGTACTCTAAAATGACCATTTCTCTCTAATTTATTTTGCTTTATTGTGCAACCTGTTGGGATATAAAATCATGCTGCAAATTGTACCTAGTCTTACTCCAAAATCTAAAGCCACAATTATTTTTTTCAATTAAAAAATTCTTTCATTGAAATTCTTCTGGACTTAAGTGGCTTAATCGATCCTAAACCTGGTAAGTGATTAAGAGGACGGCCAGGAAGTAGGCAATCAAACATAGTCTCTCTATTTAAAGGTTCTTTTTTGTAAGGAAAGCCTTGAATGGAATGTGCCCATCACAGCAGATCCCCAGGAGAATTCCATTTCTAGGAAGATCACAGTACTCAAGATTAGTGGTAACCTTTTGATTTTAGTCCAGTGAAGGGTGAAATATATTAATATTAAAAATGCAAAAGCAGACATTTTTCAGTAACCTACCATTATGTATCCATATATTATGTCTACCAGAAGAATTTCCAAGTAGTTCAAAATAGATGATTTCCTTAAAACACTGATGTAACTTCTTTTTAAGAGAGGACTTTATAGCTTGGAAAATAGAAGTTAGAAAATGAAAGTATCTTTGGAAGCATCACTCTGTCTTAAACCAATGAAGAATGTCTTTAAAAAAAAATGCCATCCAATTTTTTTTCATAATGGCAAACATCAACAGAAAAACAGGATGCAATTTTTCTATATAAATAAATCAATGATGTGTCAAAAATTAACAGATGAGTTAATATACTCGGTGCTATCAAAACCAGATGGTGCTTCCTAATATTCATCCTGCTCAGTCAATCCCTGAATATTTTCTGGACCATCGGTATATAAAATAGGATGCTGCTATTTGTGATGGCAAACAAAAGCAATCATGCCTGCCAAGCACATACTATAACAGGCAGCATTTCAGCTCTGCTAGACAGAAAGTAATTAGAATGCTTTTAATGTCCAAAAGAATGATGCTGATAGGCTGCCACAGATGTGTAGATTTATGAATATTTATATGGTGGTTTATAGCTGACACTTTTATCAGTTGAAGAAGATAAAATATCTGCCTGACTCAAAAGCTTGACAGTCAGGTTAATAAAATCTCATTAAAGAGAATGACCTATGCAATTATATAGGATTTATTGTAATTCATTTTTGATTGTACTCTGCTTAAAGATGCAATTTCACATTTCCTGATGCCAAATTTAGGCTGCATATCAAGATCTATGTGGGTTTTAACTCTAAGCCTCCCACAGAAGAAAAATATGCTTTTAAAATCATGGTGTACTATCCCTTTTAAGGAAAATTATACTCTTCATAAGATTTTATAAGAATGTTGAAAAAATCTATTTTTAATCACACATTTCTCTTCTCAATGGTTTATGGCCCTTAATGGCACATAAAACTCACTTCAACCCTTTCATCTTTTCACTATATTTCTCTTGGATGGTCTTGCAGGTCTCTTCTTGTTTGGACTCACATCATTACAATGATGTTTTGACTGTTTTCAGTTTCCTTGGTGCAACTGCACTTTTGTGAGGGTGCAACAGGCAAAGCACCACCCCATCCCCACCTCCTGTGTTTAAAAGGCTGTGGAGTGAACACAAGCTCATTGGTTCAAAGTGGAACCATTAGTTCCTCAAAGAACCAATCAGGTCTTCAGGTGGCTGTCCCTCTGATGGCCACTCACATCACTGTGCCTGTTCAGAGATGGTATTGCCCATCAATGATTAATATCGTGACCACAATTACTGACGTCTAGTCCCATGGCTTTTTCCTCCTTCAGACTATTTTCGTCATTGCATGGAAGAAATCTATTGTCCAATTCCTATTTTTCCAACAAGAAGCATTAGGCATCCAGTTCTCTGTGCTATCAACTTTATTCTATGACCTTGCTAAGGAAGATGAAGGAGGGGAGGTAGGGAAAGCAAAAGAAAGTAAGACAGTCAGGCAGGTAAGGAGGCCGATCTTGACAATTAATGGTAATATAGGGAAGTCCGAAAAGCATCACGCCTTAGGATTCAGTGATGTTGACTCCTACGTGAGGACTGAGACAAAAGAAGCTCAATAGCACATTACAAGAAATACTGAAAGCATTCAGAACAAGAAAAGGGGGAATCAAAAAACCAAAGAAACAAACAAAAAAATTCCACATGAAGGAAAGACAGCACAGACACTTCCAGATCAGGTGGAACCATAAAGGATAGAAAGAAACTGCTGCAGAAAATAAGAAATACCGGAGATGTGATAGGAAAAGCAATTTGAATCTAGGGATGAAGGAAATGAGGGGGTAGATGTATAAAGTAAAAGACTGAAAGACAGCAAGGCTTTAAAAGAGAAAGATCAAAAATTGAACTTGGCTGGTTAAGAGGGAAATCCCCAGTGCACATGGTAGAACTAAGGGTATGCAAAAGAGTAAGCAAAATATAGTAAATAGGCAAGGACTCAAGCTGCTGGAAAACAAGATAAAATAAACAAGACAGACGACAGTAAACAAAGTAATAAACACAGTCACGAACAAGAAGCATAAGAGAATAAGACTCCAAACCCAGAGAGAAAACGTTAACCTCACTAAGGGAGGAAAAAACAAAACAAAACAAAACAAAAAAAACCTGAGGAAAATGGAGCAAGTAGCCTAACAATGAATATAAAATCACAATGGACTACTGAGCCAAGAACAACTAGAAAAAAGGGAAAAAATCCCTACAAACAATAAGGAAGCCCACATAAGAATCCCACTCAAAACTGTCAAAAATCTTCAAATCAGCGAGGGACGTGACAGAGTCTTTACTATAATCTGTCATTAGATTTTCTTTCACAAAACCAATCCTTCATGTGTCAAAATATTGACAAACAGCAGAACATTTAGCATAGGCATCTATAACTCAGTTAGGGACAATACTGTTCTATTTTCATTAGGGGAAAAAATTCCTCAGATTCAGTGATAGAATTTGGAAGGAGGGAGTAAAATGTGTAATAAAAGGACTGAACAGGAACTTTTGGTTCTGATGAGCCCATAAACGTGGCTGTGCATCCCAAGGGAGCAGAGAGCACGCTTGGGTGCCGGCTCCAGCCACGGCCTTGTCACGAGCCTGTGTCCCTCCCAAGTAGCCAGGCAGCACGCTGGCTTTTGGAGTAGGGGCGCCTGCATTCTTGCACTCAGGACGGGGGCCAAACAAGAGGCATCTCTGCAGAACCAGAGTCCAGATGCCAACCAGGGCCAGGATACCGCGCCACGTGCAAAGTGTGGGCTGCGACAAGGGCGGCGGGGACCCGAATGAGCGGGGCTGGGGAGGAGTGAAATTCCCTCCAAACACCCAGGTCCACTTTAGGGGCGGTGCGGACGGTCCGGTGTCGCACGTCACAGCTGGACTCTGGGGTGCCTGGGGGCCGGCCGACTGGCAGAGAGCCGGTGACAGCGCGCGCAGGCAAACACGAGCGAACAGGAGAAAGGGGGAAAAGGGACAGGGGCATGAGCGCCCAGCAGAGTGCACCGCAAGCACCGAAGAACGCCTCGGAGAGGTGGAAGGGTCACACGAGAGGCAAAGAAGAACCGGAGAAGGAAAAGCAGACGGAAGCGGAAGCGCTGGAAAAGGGAACGAGTGGAAAAAAAGTCAAGAGGCGGAGAAAAAAGAGGGCTCCGCGCGGGGCCACCCCACTTGTCCCTGAGCGGGCGCGGCTGTCA